TTGCTCACAGTGGAAAATAGATTAAGATAATGTAACACTAATTTAGTCTAAGCCTTGTCTGAATTAGTAAAGTTACATACATGGGCACAGAGGACAGAGCATTTGCCAAGAGGAAAGCCACTCCTGAGAAACTATTTTTTAAAACCAATTCCAAATTACACACACACCTCAAAAATTAAATGCTGCCAGTTTACACCTCTAACAGGCAAGTATTCACAAGTCTGATCAGAATGAAATAATGATTAGGGCCGAGTGAATAAACTGATAAATAATTCAACCTCTTTCTTATTGTAGTCAGTATATGAACAGCTCACTATTTCCTTGAATGTACTGGTTATTCAAAGTTATACATACTTCTTAAACTATAGATTGCTCATGAAACAGTTTAGTGAAGCTGTAGTTACTAGCTGAGATTGGTTATATAAGTCACATCATATTTTTGTTCCCCAACTGGGGATGAACCTGCAAGCACTTCTGGATCCCATATTCACACACACAGGTGATTCTGACCCGAGCTCTTCTATGCCACTTGGGCAGACTAAACAGCCCACTACAGACTGAGAAAAAGTTCTCTTGACACAGGAGCAATTTAGAGCAAATATAGGCCTTGGTCTAGGTGGTACGCTGCATGCAGGGCTGAAGACAAATCAGGGTAAGATCAAGGTGTAGTGCTGAGCACTAGAGGAGATTCCAAGATGCAGCAAAGGGAGAGCTGCCATATATTAGAGCAATCCTAAGAGTTTCTCTAAGGGTTTGTCTTCACTGCAGAGTGAACTAGAGTTATCTACACTCGAGTTACTCCTGTTGAGTTAGCCTAGCTCAAGTGCCAACAACCACACTCTGAAATAACACTTGAGCTACCTAGATTGATTGTGTTAGCAGCTGATGAAGTCATAACTTGAACTTTATAGCTAAGGCTATGTTTAGGTCATGGAAGTCACAGAATCCGTGACTTACAGAGACCTGCATGACATTCTCTGCTTCAGCCCCAGGGGCCGGCTGAGGGACTGGAGCTGCCAGCCAGGAGGGCCCCCTGCAAAGTTCCAGCAACAGGAAACAGCCTCCTGAGGGAGCTCTCTTCAGGGTTCCAGCAATGGGAGACAGCCTTGTGCTGTGGGGGAGGGGTGGCGCCTTGGGCGAACGGGTAGGGGTGTCCCATTTTCTCTTTGGGAAATATGGTCACCCTGCAGCTCTCAGCCGCTGTGGGTGGAGCCCACCCCGCAGCTCCCAGCTGCTGCAGGAAAAGGGGAACCCTACAGCTCCCAGCCACCACAGTGGCAGGGGAAACCATTGAGGTGCAGCAGCAAAAGTCACAAACAAGTCACGGTTTCCATGAATTTTTGTTTATTGCCCGTGACCTGTGACTTTTACTAAAAATAATCATGACAAAATTTTAACCTTATTTATAGTCTATGCACCTCAACCGGCCAGCCACCTTGAGTTAAGGGAATCACTGTACTCAAGGGTCTCAAATTAGGGACAACAATCAAGTTATAACTCAAGAGATAGCTCAGTGGTTTGAGCATTAGCCTGCTAAACCCAGGGTTGTGAGTTCAATCCTTGAGGGGGCCATTTAGGGATCTGGGCCAAAAATTGGGGATTGGTCCTGCTTTGAGCAGGGGGTTGGACTAGATGACCTCCTGAGGTCCCTTCCAACCCTGATATTCTATGAAATAACTGCAGAGAAAACAGGAACCAAACACTGCTGCAGTTATCAGCCCTCAGGGCTGCTCTGCCTTATGCGGGAGGCCAGAATTGGGGTGGTGCAAAGGTAAAGCCACTGTCTCCTCCTGGCCCTGTGCTTTCTGTGCTGTATCTCTTAAGAGGTATGACAGCATTTGTCCTATTGTTTTGAAAAACACCTTTACTAGAACATTCAGGCGAGTAGAACTTTATCAACTGGAAGTTTGTGAAAAGTGAACATATGAGGCAGGAACAACGTTGCAATGATCTAATTTAAAATAATCACAGAAATCTTTTTGGACTAATTTGCCCAGCCCTTCTATTGCTACAATAACCTGTACAGAAAATGTGTCTTTAAAACAGGCTAGTAAATTGACTATACATGCCACAATGCTCAACAAACAACAGGTCTTTTTAGATGTACCATAGATCAGTGGCCATGAGCAGATTTCAGAGGATCTGCCAAGCACGGACAGCATTAGACTCGCTAGGGCCCAGGGCAGAAAGCCAAAGTCCTGCTGCATGGGACTGTAGCTCTGGGTACCAAGCCCCACCACAAGGGGCTGAAGCCAAAGCCTGAGCAACTTAGCTTCACAGTGGCCCCTGTGGTGTGATGCCCCGGGCAACTGCCCTGCTGGCTACCCCCTAACACCAGCCCTGGCTTTTATATGCAGAAAAACAATTGTTGGGGCACAGCTGGGCCATGGAGTTTTTATAGAATGAGGTGGGGAGCCCTCAGAAAGAAAAAGATTGAGAACCTCTGCCATAGATGATTTAATATTTGCTCCTCCGATAATGAGGTTTTGTTTTGGTTGTTGGCTTTTTTTGTTCTTAAAGTTACAAATGTTATTTTGCTGTTTGTACATCTTTTGCTTTGTCATCCACTGGATGATTACTATGGACTCCTGAAGGCTGCTGCTAAAATCTATTTCTAGGCCATTCTAACTGACATTCCTAGATATAAATCACAGACTTATTTAATATAAATGGTGAACTACTCTGTTAAAATGACATGTTCTGCTTCTAGAGAGGGATATGAATTATGAAATAATACATACAGTAATTACTCATGCAACCTCTTTGAGCAACTCCAGCACTGCAACAGGAAATTAGAAAAAGCTATAAATTCTGATGAAGGGTTTTATTTTGCTTCTAATCCTGAAAGCTTCTTATCTCTATCTTCCACATTTATTTCTTTTAATACACAATATTCCAAAAAAGAGTTTGTCTAACCAAAAAAATGAAATTTATTAAGCTCCTCTAACCTTTTCACCTCCATCTATACATACATAGATATCTCAAGAGGATTTCCAGTTAGGAAATAAATGCAACCATTTAAGCTGTTACTGTACTAGGTTAATGTAATGTGACAGATTTTAAAAGCTGAAATTAGTATTTATCAAAAAGACCACTAGAAAAATAACATGCTGTTATCATTGAACAAGCAATATGCACACTAAACAAGTAAATAAAACAGAAAAAGCAAAGCAGAAGAAGCTAAACAATGGGAAAGGTTTTTTTCTTAAAATGCACATAAGAGAAAAATGCAGGGGGTTTTCATGTTTCTGTGTCACCACCATGTATGACGTGAAAACATAGCTTTGCTTTTGAGAGATTTTAAAGTTAAAATGGGGAGGAGCAACAGCAAGAGAAAGAAAAGACTCAATAGGTTAGGAAGAAAGGAAGTAAACCTTTGCACCTAAGCATGGACATTGTAGTAGCTTACGTATGATGTATACCAGGCTTTAAAAGATTAAACTTGCAGCAGAAAAATGGTCAGTTTTGGATTGGCAGTAGAAATCCCCCCCTAGTGGTCAAGCTGGGGTTTATAATGAAGTGGATCAAATTAAACAGTCATTCTCCCCATGTTTTCACTGGAAATTTTCAGAAAGAAAATCATTTTCACAATATAACAGAAAAATATATTCCAAGACCCTGAATCTCCACCCACACCACTGTAAATCAGGAGGCATTACAATAAAATCAGTGAAGTTACAACAGTGTAAAACTTGTGTGAGATTTGGACCTTTATGCCCACTTCAGTATTTTTGGTTCCTTGGGTGTCCATTTTTAATTTAACAAAGGACCATAGCGTGATAGGTTTTTTTGCTTAATAGTTACCTTCTAAAAATCAACACCATAAGCAAGGTTTATTTTTAAAAAAAAAATATTAAGATTGTCCTGGGAACCTTAATGTTGAATTACTTTAAAAAAAATATTGTACTGCCTTATGCTCTCAAAATGCTAGAGTAATTGCTTCTAGGGAACGTAGGACTCTTCTATTACAATTATGTTTCTTATTTTGATGCCACTTCTATATCCCAGTTAAATTATCACAATTTACCATCTTTTTTTTAAATAATCCCCTTTTTATAAAAAGCCTAATTTCTCTTGAACAATGCCAAGGTTTTCCTCTTAATGCAACAAAGAAATCACCATTTAGGAACAACACACTTCCCATTCACATTGCTGTAAGCCCTTAAATACTTTTCACTTTCATTTTTAAATTAAGTATTTCAGCATTTACTAGTATGAAGGAGACTAAAAAGCAGCATGAGCACAGGTAAACACCTCAACTTTTAATTAATATTTTCTCAATATTTAAATTTAAAACATAATTAAATGAGAGGGAAAGAATCAATATAATGCATTGGGGGTGCGGGTAATGAAAGTGAGTAAGGAGTTCAGCCTGTCTCATAATTTTGCACACCTAATGCTGGCCTTAAAGTGCAGGGGCAATCTGAAGGAGGGAGATTTCTAGCGAGTGAAAAGTGCTATGCACAACTGACTCCCCAATTCATTGGAATGAAAGACACTGCCTTAATCCCCAATAGATAAGTGCCAGATCTCACAGATTTGGGAGGAGAGCCTCCCTTCCTTTTGGCAGAGCTAATCCCTCACCCAGTGGGGGAGCAAAGATTTGGCTGTGTGTCTCAGAAAGATATTTACTCATTTGTCCAGACCTACCCTCGTTCAAATTGTCCCCACAACCTGGGACTCAGCAGTCTGTGTGTGTGCGTAAGTAAGACTCTCTGTTCTTCCCATCAACCTAGAGTCTTGGTCAGCAGCAGCTCTGGGCTGCCTCCAGACGCACGGATTCAACCTTGTTTTAAAACGGATACATCACACTCAAACCAGACCGCGCCGCTTCCTCCCTGTATACACGCGGGCGACCAGCATGGCGAGTGGGCAAGCCCCACTCCACTCAGGAGTCGTCCCCAAAAGCCTCCTTGCTCCAGGGGTTAGTCCTCCCCCCGCCCCATGCACTCGCGTGCCTCAGACGCTGTGTGACCCGTGGGGGCTGCTCTGCGACTTACAGGCACCACTGCAGCAGGAAGCCAAAGCAGGCAGGAGAGATTCACGCTTCCTCCATGGGAGCCGCCATATTGTAACTGGGCAGCATAAACAGTAACTTTATGGGTGGGGCTCCGCTGCAGGGCTCACAGGCAAGCGGCGGGGGGCACTTTGCAGCCCGCTGGACTCAGCCTGGGAAGGGAGCCGCGGTACAGAACCGCCGGCTGCGGCTCACCCAGCCTCTAAGGTGCTGGGGAAGGAGCGTGAGCAGCCCGGGGGGGGGACCTTTAAAACTCCACGTGGAGGGCGAAGGGGCTTTGCTTAGTCACAGCCCCTCCCCATTCTAGGCACGAGATGGGAATTTTTGCTGTGTCAGTCTCACCCCCCCCCGCGCCCCCCCGGGACTGAAGGTGGGATCCTCCCCCTCCCCGTGTTAAAGTGTCTGACCTGGGGAGGGGATGAGATTTTGGTATACGTCTGTCAGTCTGTTCCCTATCTTTAGCGGTGAGTTAGACGGAGGAGGATTTTGCTGTGTGCATGGCAGGCTCTCTCTGCTTAGGGAGGAGGGAAGAAGATTGTACTGTGTAGATAAATGTCTCCTTTGAAGCAATCTCCTCCTGTGTTTTTAAACTCCCCCTCAGTCAAATTATTGTCACAGCATGAGAGAACAACCACACAATACATGGTGGCTAGATTCCGTAACAGTGCATTTATGGTATGGATTTTATTGGGTTAGTTTTTAGGTTCATTGGGTTAGGCTGAGATATTCAACGTATTTTTGGAATTTCTGGACAGAGTTCAGTGTTCATAGGAACCCCCAATCTGTTGCAATTAAAAACCCTGCAGTCAGAAGAACTAATTTTGGAAAGTTAACCAGTTCTGGGCTTTGTATCTTCCCATATTTCTGTTGGGACTTCTAAACGACTAACCTATCTTTTTAAAAACTGAAACTTGACAGGTGAAGAAAAATTGACAGCAACCTGAGATGACATAATATGTGTAGCGATACTAGGCTCCTGCTTATTCTCTTTTCCTTCCATCAGCTCAAAAAGCAAGGAGATATATAGGTTATGTAGCCTAATCTATTGATCGTGCAGGGTTAGATATACATTATAATACGGTGGTTTCTGAGGGGTCAGCCGCTTGGTTGGCTACAGTAGAGAGCTTGTAACCAAACTGAGGACCTAAAGGTGCACAAATGGAACAAACCCAAATTACTGCTCTTTCTGTGATTAAACCCTTTATTAGCCAGCCAAACAGTAACACACACTGCCATCTGGCAAAGAAGATAGAAACAATACCAAACTACTCACACCATCCTTTGTGGCAATACCAGAGAGACAGTAGGTGGATATTGCCATGGTGTCTCTCACCACAGTTAGGCCAGAGAACATCTTTTATATTATGTTTCGCTAATGCCCACTTCATCTTATGCATATTCATAATGGGTTTGATCCCCTTTTCCTTATTTGAACTTCCATACCCCACTTTGTTTAGGTTCCCCACTTTGATAGGTACATTTATGCATTTTTGTCACAATCATTAGCATTGACACCAATCAGTTTTAGGGTGACCAGATGTCCTGATTTTATAGGACAGTCCCGATTTTGGGGTTTTTTTCTTATATAGGCTCCTATTACCCTCTACCCCCATCCTGATTTTTCACATTTGCTGTCTGGTCACCTTAATCAGTTTCTATAGCATTATTGCAGTTAATACTTGTAAATTTCAGTTACACAAATTCCTTAAAAATACTTATAACCCATTTTTGCAGTCTCTTACTTCATACCAGTCAGCTGGCTTACTGCACTTTATCTTTTGGTTTTGACATCACATGCCGATCATTGCTCATGTCAAGCCTCAGCCTAGGTCTTGATTCGTTATCCTAAGCCACCTTACAGGCCCTCAGCCTGCTGGTTTTCTACTTGCGTTCCAGCATTAATCAATGTTTACATACTACGTATATAAGCCACAGTTACAGAATGTTTTTGATTTCCTCTCTGCATACTCACTGTCCCTCTGCCAAAGATGCAGAGTTTAAATAAAATTAAACTGCCCTGAAGGTCAACAGAATAGCAGGAGACAATTCACTAGTCCAAGAACCCTCCAGAGAGATCACCTGCTATTTCTAATGGTGTTTACTTGCAGTATGGTATTCAGCCACAGTGGCCCAGATCCACAAAGTTGCTTAGGCACATAAGTCCCAGCTTTAGGCTCTACTACAATTCACAAAGCTCCTGCTCAGCTGCTGGCTAACACTGAAGACTCCTCATTCAATGCCTACATTTCCAGTGTAAAAGTTCTCCTGCGTGCCTAAGTGTCTGCCTTTTAGTGTGTGTTCTGCTGTCTTGCTCGAGCCACCTAAACACACATCTCCCACCTAAACTCTAACTTAATCCATGAACAGGAGGAAAGACAGTCAGGCAAATACCTATCTTCCTTGCTAGGCTCGATCTAGTAGGCATGCTCAGAACATGCCTACCACACTAGGTGCCTTTCAAAATCCTTCCACAGGAGGAGGAAGAGGTGATTCCACTTTGGATAAATCATTGGAGCAGGGGGACTTCTGTGGGAGTGGGTGTCTTAATCACCCAGCTATAGTATAAGTCTTTCTCTTGCATGTTCTCTCACTCTGGCCCAATGACTCTTTAAGTATTTAATCCAAACTAGAAGAGCTTTAAGGGGAGAGACTGAGGGAGTGCCACATTTGATTAGACTATTCCATAGCTCAAAGGTTAGTGCACATTTCTGAGAAGTGGGAGACCCCCTGTTCAAATAATTTCTCACACCTCAGGCAGAGGGGGGAATTGAACCTAGGTCTTCCCCATCCTAGGCAAGTAATGTAACAATTGAACTAAATGTTATAAGGTGGGTCCTGGTGGCAGCACTCTCCTCCTCCTCGTCCTGTAGTTATTTGGTGTGGTGTGAGAGAGGTGCTTCTTGCTTTCCCACAAGAAATAACTTAGGCACCTAAACCATCTGACTTCAGGAAAGAGATTCCTGGCTGTGAATCACAAGCAAAAGGAGGCAGCCTGGGCTTAGGTACCCAGCTCTGTGACAGGGGTGGGGCTCAGGGCACGCCCTTCTCATTGGCATTTCCCACTGGCTAGCTTGGACAGCTCCTTGTTTAGGGCGCTGGCTTTTGTGGATCTTATTTTAAGGTGCCTATCTCTCCCCATCCATTGTAGAGGGAGCCTAGGCACCTAACTCAGGCTTTGTGGATAGCAACGTTGTTCCTGTGATTTTCTAAATAGGCATTGTGACACTGTGTGTCACAACACTTAAGTGGATCTGGGCCTGTGGGAAACTGCCTGTCTCTGTGAGCAAATACAGACTTCCAGTCAGGATTTAATCTCTGCTAAACAAGACAAGGGAGACAAAGACAAATGCACAGTTTGAGTTCCAGTTATGGCTTTAATAACTGCCTCCTGTTTAACCAAACTGTGATTCCATATATCATGACAACTACCAGCCTCTGGATGTCCAATTCTAAGGTCCATCAAGGGATCTTCATTAATATCTGCTGTCATCGTGGCACATAAAAGAAGATACCGTTTTTAAGTAGCCAAATCCCAAATACGTAGGGCTTCATAGATTAAAATGAATATATTGAACTACATCTGGAAACCAACAGAGGAGGTCCTTATAGGCCCTTAAATAAGTGGGTAACCATATTCTTCACTAGTGGATGGTTCTGGCCTTTATGCAAAATAGGTACAGTAAAATATATTACACTCACATGGAGAAAAAGTAACTGAGTACATACAACAATCCTTCATTTCAAATCAAGCATTTTAAACCTAGGACCAAGTCTGTTCAGACAAGAATTTAAAAAGTATCAGAACTTCCTAAGTCTAAACAGATCTCAAAAACTCCTGAGAACAGGTGTTTCCACGGTATTTTATTACTTTTCCTGGCCAGAACCCCCAGAACCAGAAACATGCAAAAATGGGAACATCACAGAGTGGCTGGCCCTTTTAGGAGGATATAGGATCACCAGCCCCACCTGTGAAACAATTAGCTTGGGCTCCTTCGGTTGTGAGAAGCACTAAGGAAGGAGACAGACCCTCAGAGAGGAGGATCTGGCCCCATCTTGAGAAAGGGATGTTCAGGATTTCATGTATTGGACCGCAGAAGGGAATGTTTCAAATATCTAGACTGTGTGAGCTTTTCAAGGGGCCCTGAGCAGAAATGGAAAGTTAGGCAGGGTGCTGCAGAGTAACCCCGGGCCAAAAAGGGGCACTTAGGAACTAGTGACCCTGTTACAAGGGGAATCTTCTTTTTAACAAAAGATCTCCAAACTTTTTCAAATCTCCAAAAAGACCATTAAATTCCAAATGAAGGTTCAGATCCAATCGTAAGTGCCTATCCCACATACATTTATGCACTTACAGTACTTAACTTTACTACTATGAATGTTTGATGTCAATAAGACTGTTTACAATAGTCAAGTTAAGCAGGTGCAAAAATGTCTGCAAGAATGGGGCCTTATTTATCTCTACCCTTTGCCCATCCATGTTTTAAATCCAAATGTATCTTCATCTGTTTCACCACTGTAACTGTGAAGCAACTTTTACAGTCTGATCAGAATTTAGACTGTGGTGTTCTAATTACTATAGAGGAGGATTGTGAAATCATGAATCTGAGGTGGCAACAAGCTTTATTTTTCTGAAGTAAGATGACTACTACTCCAGACATTTCCAAGCATCCTCCCTTGCTACTACTTATTGCATCATGCATTTTTAGATCTTTGTCACATAATTGTAATTGCCACCAGGCTGTTTACGAAGTGATTCAAGTATTTTTAAACTCTTCTTACAGAGCCACTTTCTTACCTCATATAGCTGGTTGCCGAATTCTTGTTATATATTTCAGTTGTAACTTCTGTTTCTGGTGTGGTGTTCTATTTAGTTTAATGGTACCTGTGTTTGACAGCTTGTTGACATCTCTAGGACATGATGACAAGTTTTCTCCATTGAGAGGCCTCCAACAGCTGTAACCTAAACTGCAGGCCCTGCAAGGATTGCAGGTGTCAGTCAAATCCTAATCACTTCAATAGTGATCACAGCTTTTTACAATACTACTCTGTTGTTGCAGACAGAGGGTATCACAGAATGAGAAGGTCACTAGTTACTGCCAGAGAGTTGATTAACACACCCGAGGCTTGCAAGGACTTACAACAACCACAGGGCTTGGAGGGAAAGGAAAGGGAATAATGAGTGGGAGGAGAAGAACAAGAAAGCCAGGAGAACAAGAAAAATGACAAACCAG